CAGCCAATGAGGACTGTTTGGAAACTGAAACTGGGTGCGGCTCTGTAGCTCCGAGTCTGTGCAAAAAGGAACGAAACTAGTCTGTCTGCTGAATTGAAATCGAAAACATCTCTCCTCTCTACCACGTTGGAAGAACCACTCTTGGTATTGTATATATGTCTCATGGGCTCTATTATATATAAAGAGTAGTTAATGAATCCTGCTGCATCAGTTACCTATGTGTGCTTTCTGGATTTGACTGCTGCAACGACTGATACTCCGACAGGGCCATAACATTAACACTGAAGTTAAGAAGGTAAGAAAACTGTTCACCTTTCCTCTCTAAACACAACACACACATGCCTGATATGCATTGTTCACAAGTTCTTCATTGTAAAGCTATTTCTGGAAAATAAGCTAAAGAGGAATGCCTTATGAGTGCCTTATGAGCTCCAGCTGTTGTGTAATTTATTTATTTATTAGATTTTTAGCCTTCTTTTGTAAGTAATTCATGGTGGCAAACATACCTAATACTCCTCCTTCTTCCTATTTGCTCCAAAACAACAACCCTGTGGTGTGAGTTAGGCTGAGACAGAGTGCTTGGCCCAAAGTCACCTAGCCGGCTTTTGTGCTTAAAACAGACTAGAACTCACAGTCTCCTAGTGATTGGCTCGAAGTTACCCAGCCGGCTTCCATGCCTAACTGGGAGACTCACCGTCTCCCAGTTTCTAGACCAGCATCTTAACCTCTATACCAAACTGACTGTCAAGTCTTAATTATTTCTTAGGTGCTGCTTTGAAAATATAGTGGTAAATGTTATTGCATATCACGGACCTTTTAGCTGAGAGGCACCTGATTTTGCATTTTGCATTTTGCATTCTAGAATTAATTGCAATACGTAATTGCATGAGTTATTTTATTCCATATCTGTACTGCACTGAGCAATAATCCCATAATAAATAAAACTACTACTAGCTCACCAGTTTAATTACCTCGCTGCATTTCAATAGATCAACCCTCCCTTTTCCAGTTAAAACCCAGCCCTAGGCCAATACAATTCAGTTCCCTTCTTCCCCTCCTTCGTTATTCAAACCCTGCTTTGTTTCATCCACTTACTAAGCATTTAAAATAAAACAACTCATCAGGGCAGTTCTGAGAATGGATGCCGATACCTGCCAGCTATCATGCAAGTTTAATTCTCCTTGAGTGTCCATTATGTTTTTGTGACAACCCGCAGGGTCACTCGACTTGTCTCTGTCTTCTGAGCCCATCCGCCCTCTCTAAATTGTTCCTTTGTTGTTAACACCATTCAATACCTAGAATCATAAGGCTGGGAGGAACATAGAACATAGAATAATAGAGTCAAAAGGGACCTCGGAGGGCTTCTAGTCCAATCCCCTGCTTCAGCCAGAGACTGGGGTGAAATCCAACAGGTTCTGACGAACCGGTAGCAGAAATTTTGAGCAGTTTGGAAAATCGGCAAATACCACCTCTGGCTGGCCCGAGTGGGGTGGGAATGGAGATTTTGCAATATCCTTCTCCCAGGAGTGGGGAGGGAATGGGGATTTTGCAGTATTATTCCCCTGCCATTTCACCCTAAAAGGGGGTGAAAATGTAGGTGCGTCTTATACACCAAATGTAGCTCCGCCCATTCACTGGCCCCCACCCTTTGGCCTCTGCCTCGCAGCAGTTACCTCCTTGCAAGCAAACAGCAAGAAAAAACAGCTCCTTTCAGCTTCAGCACAGCCTAATTAGCACAAGTTGATTGGATCGGTCTCCTGACTTTCAGCTGATTTGATCTCAGTTGTTTTCCACAGGGCTCTGCTGCTTGATGAAAGAGGTAAATTGCTGGAGAAGATTTTTTTCCCCTTGTGCTAATCAAGCTAAGCTGAGAACGAAAATGAAAGTAAAGCAGGCTGTTTGCTGCTTGCTCCAACGAGGCAAAATTGGTCAGAGGCAGTTTTCTTTTTCTTCTTTTCCTCACCAAAAAAGGTAGGTGCGTCTTATACTTCGGTGCGTCTTATACTCCAAAAAATACAGTAATCTTTGCTGCTCTTCTTTGCACTCTTTCTAGAGCCTCAGCATATAAGCTGTTGATACAAGCTTGTGCGTTAGTTCTTACCAGGGGTGAAATGCTCCCGGTGCGGACCGGCTCGGGCGAGTAGGTAGCGATGGCGGCGGGCAGCTCGGAGAACCGGTAGCAAAAATCCCTGCCCCCGCCTCCCATGCCCAGCTGAGGCGCGCGATCATCAGAGCCTTTTTTTCTTTAAAATGGCTCTGACGAGCCAAGCTCTGACATCCCAGCTGAGTGGCCTGCTAATCAGGCAACTCAGTTTGGATCGCCAGAGCCATGTAAAAGACAAAAAAGTTTCTTTTTTTCTTCCCCCTTCCTCCCCCTCCAGCCTCCAGCTTGCTTACCTTAGCTGCTGGTCGCAACGCTGTAATACCTGCAATCCATTGCGTCGGCAAGCAACTGAATCTCCCTGCCTGCAATCAAGCTCATCGGTAAGCAGCTCTATCTGCAACTTTAAGACTTGTGGATTTCAACTCCCAGCAAAGCTGGCTGAGGAATTCTGGGAGTTGCCAAGTCTTAAAGTTGCCAAGGTTGGAGACTCCTGTTCTATTGGGTAAGTTTTTTCCCCCTTTGGGAGCTTTAAAAAAAATAGTTTTGTGTGTGTAAAGTGTGAAAGTTGGTTTTTTGGGCTTTTTGTGGCTGTGTAAGGTTCCTGCTTGTTGCAGGGGCCATTTTGGGTCTAGCACAGCTGCTTTTACATTGTGGGTGAGCCAGTTGTGTTGTGTTGTGTTTTGTAGGTTAAAAAAGGGCAAAGAAGTGACATTGACTTGGCCACGCCCACCTGACCAACAAGCCACACCCTCCCAGTCACCTTACCACCAAGCCCTGCCCACTAATTAAGCCACGCCCACAGAACCGGTAGCAAAAAATAATAATTTCACCCCTGGTCCCGCCCCCCCTGCTCACACAGGTGACTTATGAAATTGCTGACCAATAGCTGTCCAATCGCTTCTTAAAAGCCTCCAGTGATGAAGCACCCACAACTTCTGGAAGCAAGCCGTTCTACAATATCAATTGTACTCAACTGTCAAAAAAATTTCTCCTTACTCCTAGGTCAGGGGTGGGCAACTGTGGCCCTTTTACAACCTGTGGACTTCAACTCCCAGAATTCCTGAGACAGGAAGTCCACAGGTTGTAAAAGGGCCGCAGTTGCCCACCCCTATCCTAGGTTGAATAGCATCTTGATTAGTTTCCATCCATTGCTTCTTCTCCTGCCTTCAGGTGCTTTGGAGAATAGTTTGACCCCCCTCTTCTTTGGGGCAGCCCCTCAAATAATTGGAACACTGCTATCCTGTCACCCCCAGTCTTTCTTTTCACTAGACTAGATATACCCAGTTCCTGCAATCTATACATTATAATATTAAGTACATTAAGATACTTATAAAGGGATAAAGGGAACCTAAACAAGATTAAATCTGGCTCAATCCTAGAATTAAACCTAGAAGGCCTTCAATCTTCTAAGAGCCTTCGTGGCACAGCAAACTAAAGCACTGTTAAGTAACACCAGCTGCCTGCAATTACTGCAAGTTCAAATCTCACCAGGCTCAAGGTTTATTTATTTATTTTTATTTATTATTAGATTTATATACCGCCCTACTCCCGAAGGACTCAGGGCAGTGAACAGCCAAAAGATAAAACAAGCATTACAAAATTTAAAAACAGTATAAAAACCTATTTAGATAAATTTGGCCTCGAACAGATTAAAACACCCCTAAAGTTTTAAACAAATTTAAAATTTACAATTAAAAAGGGAAGTTAGGCCAGGCCAGCCTGTTGGAATAAAAAGGTCTTGAGGGCACGGCAGAAGGTGCGTAAATCCGGGATCCTCCGTATCTCCAGGGGGAGCTCATTCCAGATAGCAGGTGCCCCCACAGAGAAGGTTCTTCCCCTGGGGGCCGCCAGTCGACACTGTTTGGCCGACGGCACCCAGAGGAGCCCCTCTCTGTGAGAGCGTACTGGCCGGTGAGAGGCTACTGGTGGCAACAGGCAGTCCCGTAAGTACCCGGGTCCTAAGCCATGGAGTGCTCTAAAGGTGGTCTAAAGGTGGTAACCAAAACATTGAAGCACACCCGGAAGACCACCGGGAGCCAGTGCAGCTCGCGCAGGAGAGGTGTTAAATGGGAACGCTACGTTGCTCCCATAACCACCCACACAGCTGCACTCTGCACCAGTTGGAGCCTCCGGGTGCTCCTCAAGGGGAGCCCCATGTAGAGACGGTTGACTCAGCCTTCCATCCTTCCGAGGTAGGTAAAATGAGGACCCGGATTGTGGGGGCAATAAGTTGACTTTGTATAAAAAAGAACACCGCTTGGGGGGGGGGTGAAAGCCCTACTAAGCAGGTATATACAAAAGTATGAAGGCTATTGCTTAACGCATTGTAAGCTGCCCTGAGTCTCCGGAGAAGGGCGGCATATAAATCAAATTAAATATATTTATATATTTTTTTTTCTTACTTCTTCGTAGGATATATGTGTGTTTTTCCTCTAGCCAGGTTTTTCCTACGTAGGGCTGCAGAAAAACTTTGGTTACCTAGGAAAAACCTGGCTAGAGGAAAAACACATACATACATACATACATACATGCATACATACATACATATATATATATGTATGTATGTATGACGGCTATTGCTTAACGCATTGTAAGCCGCCCTGAGTCTCCGGAGAAGGGCGGCATATAAATCGAACCAATAAATAACCAAATCAATAAATCAATAAACCTGACCTGCTTGGGCTTGTGGTTGTGGGAACGCAGCCGTTCCCGACCAACCTTGACGGGGCGCGCCTGCTTTTTCCACGGCCGGAGACTTTTTCTTTTTTTTCCTCTTAAAGAGGCCATTAATTAGAGCGATGGCTCTGATTGGGCGGCCGCTCAGTCCCAGCGGGCGCCTCGCCGCAACATAATGGGCGAGGTGGGCAATGATTAATATCCTGCCTCCGGTCAGGGCACCGCGCGGAGCCAGCTGGCTCCAGACCCAGCGAGCTGCTCCTGCAAGACGGGCGGCCGCAGGCAGGCAGAGCCGCCGCCGCCGTCTCGCCCCATCCCAAAGCGGGATTCCCAGCCAACCTTTTTTCCTCCGGATCGGATCGGATCAAGGCAGGAGAAGCCGAAAGGCTGGGCAACAACTGCGGGGCGCCGGATCCTTTAGACGGCTGAGTGCGGGGTAAAATCCGGATCAGGTGAAAAGCAGGGCGCGCGCTTCCTCTCCGTCGGATCTCGGGAGAGGCTCCCCGGATCGAGCGAGGAGAAAGGGAGGGAGGGAGAAGAGAGAAGCGAGACGCGCAACTGGACAGCCCCGATCCTCGCTTGCGCGGCCCGACGGCGCAAAAATAATTTTTTTTAAAAAAAAGACGTGCTTCCCAAGAGCGCAGGGAAAAAAAGAGCTCCCCGACGTGTCTCGGTTGGGACGACGGCGCGCCCAGGCTCCCCATCTTCCGGAGTTGGCTTAGCAGGATCCGCGCAGAGGAGGAGGAGAAAAAAAAAAAAAAAGGAGCGTTCCCAGCCGCTGCGCCCTTGTGGAGAAGCGCGGCTCCGTCGGCCGTCCTAGCCCGGCTGGGTCCCCTCGAGGGCAGCGATGGCCGAGCTGAAAGCGCTGGGCGGCGAGTCTTACCTGGCCCTGGCGCAGAGCTACAACCAGACGGCTTTCGCTTACGGCGCCGTGCGGGGCGCGGGCGAAGCGGGGCGCGGTTACCCCGGGGGCGCGGGCGGGCTTGCTTTCCCGGCGGCTCAACTGGGCAAAGCGGCGGAGAGCAGCGGCGAGCAGAGCGGCGACGACGACGAGGCTTTCGAAGGCTCCAAGGCGGGCAGCCCGACCTTCGAGCGCGTCGGCGGCGGAGAAGCCAAGCTGAAGGCGGGCGGCGTCGGAGGCGCCCTCGGGCCCAAGAAACCCAAGGAGCAGCGCTCGCTTCGCCTCAGCATCAACGCCCGCGAGCGGCGGCGGATGCACGACCTGAACGACGCGCTGGACGGCTTGCGCTCCGTCATCCCTTACGCGCACAGCCCGTCGGTGCGCAAGCTCTCCAAGATCGCCACGTTGCTCCTGGCCAAGAACTACATCCTGATGCAGGCCCAGGCCCTGGAGGAGATGCGGCGTTTGGTGGCTTACCTCAACCAGGGACAGACTCTGGGAGCCTCCATCCCGCCCGGCTTGGCTCCCTTCGGACAATCGGCCGCCGTCTATCCTTTCACGGGCGCCGCCTTGCCCAACTGCCCCGAGAAATGTACTGCCTTCGCCGGGGCCGCTTCGGGGCTTTGCAAACATTGCAGCGAAAAACCGTAAATGGGACCTTTGCTTGGACGCTTCTGCAAAAATAATAATAATAATAATAATAATAATAATAATAATCCCGGTTCTTCCCTTCTTTCCACCCGAACACCCTAGAAATTCTCCGTCGTTTTCAGGCACCCCCCAAATTGCCTTTTCCGCTTGGCTTGCCCTTCTCTGCAGCTTGAATCCGGATTCCTTTCTCCTCATCCACACCACTTCGCTCTGTTTTCTGCAACCCCTTTCTCGAATATTTTCGTTTAAGACTTTTTTTTCTTCTCAATTTTGCCCTCTTATTAATTTTCAGGCATAACTTCAAAAAAAAATAACCAACACAAAAACTTGTCTACAGTATGTGGTTATAAACCGGATGGTGAAATCTTCTTTTTTTTTACTCTTTCTCTCTAGAAAGAATAACTTTGAGTAGGGGGGAAAAAAATTGGGAAAAGAAAAATTTGCGCCAGATTCCTTTTGGGAATAAATCGTCTGGAGGACAAACCTATGCAGTTGTTTAATGAATGCGAAGTTACTTTAAAAAAATAATAATAATTAAGCAGTCTACCCCCCTTCCCATACCCAAATTTGTAGTTAAATGTGTTCAAAATGCGGAGTTTTAAAATTTTCATTTGGGGTCATTGTGAATACAAGGTTGCTTCAGTTGGTTAGATATATTCATATCTTAAAACTTTGGACCCATTCTTTGTCTTAACTATAATCTTTTTTAAGCGTGAGCTGCTGCTCTTTTCGATGCTTTTTTTTCCCCCTTTGCTTCTCTGTTTGAACCATTTTCTATCTTGGTAACCTGGGACATTAAAATTCTCTTGAGCTGATTTATTTGTATTTATATTAAATAAAAAAGCACATCAATTAACTCAGGTGGCTCTGTCCTAAATCTCTCAAAATGTCAATTTGCTAAATGAATCAATTCTGTAAACCAGCGATCCTTTTTAGAGGAGTGATGGTACGCATTCTGAATAATACCAGCTATATGATGGCTAATCCAGCAAATTGAAACACTTTAAAATCCTATTAGCTTCAGCTGGCTAATATAAAAACAACTACAATTGTTTTGGGTTTTTTTAGCTAAAAGCAATGAAAGTTTATCAAGCTGTGGAATCTTCTTTCTAATTAATCGACTCCTTAGAATAAGATGTGTAAGGGCATAATTTGATTTTAGAATGTGATGTGAAAGGGTTTAATTGCACCCACATAAAATTAGTAGTAAGTTTTGCAGATTTTGGTGATGTTGTATTGGGAGAAAATGAGGTTTGGCTTAGAGAAAGATTTCGGAGTCTGCAGTTGATATTTTAATGTCTTTCCAACAATTTCCCCCCAAATATAACTAGTGACACTATAAAAAGATTTTAATTTCACAAAGGATTCAGCATTGCAGCCTTGTTCAATTCCATGGAGATTATGTAGGTTTAACCCTAGGAGGTCTAAATCAGTTTATATATATACTATATTATTGTCTTTAACCTGAAATCCCTGTATATAGACAGACACTATAGGTAATGTACATTGTAGATATCTACAAAGTAATTAGATATAGGATATTAGATAAAGTGTTTTGTGGCTGTGCAGGAGAATATTTAAATAAAAGATAATTGCATTGTTTCAGGTGGGATGGCCTGGAATAGATCTGTATATAATATCTGCATCTATCTATTTATCTATCTATCTATCTATCTATCTATCTATCTATCTATCTATCTATCTAATTGTCTGCCTGTCTGTCTACATCTCTCTCTCTCTCTCTCTCTCTCTCTCTCTCTCTCTATCTATCTATCTATCTATCTATCTATCTAATTGTCTGTCTACATCTGTATCTAGCTATCTATCATTTATTTATATTTCACGCTTATTCTTTTTACAAATAACTCAAAGTGGCAGACATATCCAACATAGCTTCTTCTTCCTATTTTCCTACTTTCTCCTATTTTTCTTGTGTTTTTTCCCCCAAAAAAAAATTGATGTAAAAGAAGAGAAGTGAGGGGTTTTTTTTTTCTCTTTTTCTAACTCAGTTGATCAGGACTGGCTCCTTCCTGGAAAGTCAGAATTCACATGGAAACATGGATTTTAAACTGCAAAAAGTGCAGATTATAAAACATTCTATCATTGCAGAAGATAATCTGGAAATCCGGCACAAGTTTAAAGCTTTTTCAACTCAGGTGTGCCCGTTAAGGTATTCCGAACAAGTTTGTATGTGCAAAGCCACATTTTTTATTTTTGTTTAGAAGTCTGGGGGGTATGATTATTTGTGTTGCCTCCACATTTATGATTTTATAGGTTAGGATGCTTACCTGCGTACAGTCTACCAGGTAAAAACATCATCCAGAGCCAAGTCCTGGACACCTGCTCATACAATTCCACTCTTACCTGTTATCTTATCCTGTTCACCGAATGGGACCAGTTCTTGAAATTGTAACCGGAAGCTGAAATCCAGCTGAAAATTGTGTCCCTCTGTTTGAAGTCATCAGTCCTAAAGATGCTTGGGCATCCGATTGATTGATTGATTTAAATTGAGCGTAGCAGGAAGGCCTGAAATTCTGATAATTCTACAAAATAAACCAGGATCTAGCTGAACTGATCGGTGCAATAGATGCCTAGAAAGTTTAATTTTGAAAAAAAAACCACACCTCCTTTTAGTCATTCTGGTTAGATGCCAGTATATTTCCTCTTGGTAAGTTTTTGTCAAATGAATGTACAGCTTGTTGGTTCTTCGGGTAGCAGTTGGACGGGGTGAGGGGGTGCTGGTGTCTCCAATGAAGAGATAATCAAGATAGACTTGCATTAAAGTAGAAACTTGCCATTCATTGTTAGAGTAAAACGCAAATTAGTCCAGTGAATGCCTGCAGGCTTGTTCTGTCCAAGCTATTTATTTTACAGATGATAGGGAGTGTAACTGTTTAAGGTTATTAAACTGATTTGCAGGACTGTCGCCAACATTAAGACTAATGTGAGAAGGATTCAAACCTGCTTGTCTTTAGCGTTTTATTTTAATTCGCGTCCTTTCTCCCTTTTTTTTTCTCTTGTATTGTTTGCAAACAGAAATATGTCATTAACTTTCAGCAAGAAAAAGTCATATCAAATTAGCCGCTTCTCGTTTTCATTCAAATCTCTTAATTTCGTGGATTTTTTAAAAGCTTCGTTACATGTAAAGCGACATTTTATACCGACAGCTGTTTATTTAAAGATTTGTTTTATGCAGACAGGTCTTTCCTCACTCCAAAAATCGCACTGAAACAAAATAAACACCTGTTTGTATTTTTTAAAAAAGAACCTAACAATAATAAAAAGCTAACAATAATATTTTTTAGTATGCAGATTGATAATGGTGCAGGTAAAACATTTAAGAGTATTTTTTAACAATGACTTCATTTAGAAATCAATCATGAGATTCTAATAAGCTTCTTTTTCTGCCTCAAAGTCTTAGAATTTAGCCACAATTATTTCAAAGTGGAATCTTTTTTAACTATTCAACCACCCACTAGTGAAAAAGCTGCCACATTAATTTCTTCTTCAGAGAAACAAGCTTTTATTTTATTTTTTAATTGCAGACTTCTACTAATAACTGTTGAATTTATAACTGCTCTCTCCTTAGATCAGAAGGACTTGCTTTGTTCTACAATTACCATTTTATGGGGAAAAAATCTCCCGTAGTATTAATGGAAGTCAGACTCCCTGCCTACACTGAGGTAAAGTGAAGGAGTTACCTTTAACCTTGTTGAATTTAGAAATGTTGATTAAATTGAATTGGAGAAGTGAGGCTTTCGGGTGGGCTAAATGCAGCCTTGATTCTGAGCTTAAATTCATTCATTTATGGGTCAAACGGTGGAATTCAGTGAAGGTTTGCTGAGAAGCATGTCTTAAATGGGGATGCATTTATAATAAATACAGATAGGTTTGTAGCAGAAATCTGCTTAGTATTATGAGTATAGGAGCGCTCAGTATTTTCAGAAGCTGGAGCAAAGATTCTAACTTAGACTTGTCACCAATAAAGGAGAATATTTGTAGCTCAAGTTTGAAATGAGGAATCCTTGGTGCTCTCTGTGATAACATTGCTAGCCCTGATGATATTAGCTAGTTTGGATGATAAAACGTCTGCCAGAAAACAACCAAGGACCTCTCATTTGACTTGTTAATTAGGCTAGCCAAAAAATTTAAAAAATAAATAAAATAAAAACAAGGGTAGTTCAACCAAAAATGGAGACTATAAAAAAGCTATGTTAGAAGAAAGAGTGATCGAAAGACCATAATTACTTCTGCCCATTCTCTCTGATCTGTTTTCCTCAGCCTTCATCAAGGCCATAGAAACAAAAGAACATTTAGCTGCAGAAAAGTGATGGATGGTTGCAAATGAAAATTGTGCCGATTAGGGAAAGAAAATTAAGCCAGAGCGCCTTTTTCTGCCAAAAGGACGGTCACCCAGATTGAGGAACATACGATTTGCTATGATGGTATATTTTTCTACCCCGAGGCTAAAACCTCACCTTATTTGTCTTTTTGAATGGAATTTTTGGATTACTACTTTTAAAGAATTACCTGTCTGTTTTGCCCAGGTGAAAGTTCTAGGTGAATAATTTGGCTTTGGAATTAAACTTGTTGCGTATAAAGGAATATGTCGCATGCCTTTTAATGAAAATGTTGTTAATAGGTGTAATTGATAGAATGCGACCCCAAATCCGTTGAAGGTTAACATTCACCTATAAATAAATAAACTCCAAATATCAATTGGGCATACCTTAAAAGTATATATACTTTTATTTAGTTCTTAGACAGTCATCAGAAAACTCTGGTAATTAGTTTTTGTGTGGCCGCAGTGTCTGTTTTTATTGGCACCAAGCTAGAAAGCAAAAGACTGTGAGTTCAAGTCCCGCCTTAGTCATAAAAGCTGACTGGGTGACTTTAGGCCAGTCACTCTTTCTCTCAGCCCGACCAACCTCATAGGGTTGTTGTTGTGGGGAAATTAGGAGAAGGGAGGTGTGTTGGATATGTTTGCCACCTTGAACTATTAGTATTAATAATAGCATTATTAGTATTAATACTACTCATAGTACCTTGAA